ATTTTTCTAGTTAATCAAGGAAGATAGCAGAGGTATAAGAGCTGTATATTTATTATAATTTCTGAAGTCTTGGAACTCTGAACTTGTCTTTACTGGATGCATCCTATTCTTCAGACTCTTTCTCTGGTGTGTCTTCCTTTATCTACCTCTAAGATCAGAAGCAACAGAGCATATACATGAAGTGGGCTAAGTCCATGGAGTGAAAAAGGCATCTCCTGGAAATTTGGACCTTCTACCTAGTGAAGCATAATAGCTGGCATTTACTGCTGCGTTTAGCAGCTCAGGATGGCACAAAAGCATAATGGCCAAATCCTTTATTGCATAAGAAAATTTTGTATTTCAAAGGCCTGGAGGATAAACCAATATGTCAAGCATATAATTTTTAGAGACAACCTTTTTCTTTTGCATTTTGGTGAGTCAAGTTGGTATCTCCTGCTTGTTCACCTATTGTATGGCAATGGAGTTATCTGCCATGGAATCGTAAGGAAACTGTGACTCCTGTTAGGGTTCAGGAAGACTATGGAGCTATACAGAGCATCCTGAGATTCCCACTGTAACCACTGACTTTGCAGCTAATCCGGAGAACTTTAAAGATACCTTATTAGATTTTGTATAGTAAGATTGGCAAAATGAGTGGCACTTGTTCCTCCATATCCCTTCATTCTAGGAAATCATGTAGCTAAATGTTCAGTAATTGTCAATTGTAAATGGATTATTAGGAGCTATTAGGAAAAAAAAAAGAGAATACATCACAAACTCTTCAATATTGTAAGGAGGTCTAGTCTCATCTCTAAAAAGATGGTATAATTAAAAGACAAGTAAGGAACAGCACAGTGACCAAAGGTATGGGTGGGAGGCCACCCAAGAAGTGATCAATTATACCCTGCATGTAAGTATACTGAGGGAAGAGTATACTGAGGGAAGATAGGATGGAGACCCATAAAAACACAAGCCTTATGGTGATGCTAAGTAGGAAGTCCACTGTCCTTTTTACTACAAAAACTAGGAGACATTAAATGAAAGCAGCAGACGATAAGTTCAGAATAAATGAAAGGAGATGCTGTTTTGGACAACTGTAAAAGCTATTAAAAACAGAGGCACATAGCAAGTCCCTGAACTGCAAACTGCTGAACACTACCAAACTACTCTGAAAATGTATAAATGTATTTGTGCTATGTTATTAACCTTTTCTATATTGACCACTGCTGGAGATGGGCTAGTTGGTTGGATAGACTCCTTACTCGAGCCTGGACATCTATTCTTATGCTTTCTTCTTCTACTTTGCTGTGATGGCATATGCTGTCTCCATGCTTTGAATTCTACAGGGATTTTTTTGCTTTATTTTCAGTCTTCCGAAGGAAAACAGGTACTGCCAATGAGTTGCTGGGGAGAAGACTCTTGTATAAACCAACAAGAGAGCTATGAATATAATAAATGCACTTTTCTATATTAACTAAGTTGGCACATTAGCCAGTAAATGCCTACTGCCTCTGCACAGTCTCCATTTTGACACTCTGCATTGATAATAAGCTGGATTTATGAAGAAATGAATCATGTAGTAGAAAATATGCAGATTGTCACTGTTTCTGATATGAATCTCGTATTTTCTAACCTACATCCTTCTAGAGATCAGCAGTCTGTACTGCCTCTGCATCTGCTTGGGGAAAAACAGAAGAATCCACTTCTGCAGCGAGGTGTTTAGCACAAGCATCCCTCAGAAACAGGTCTCAGCCAAAAACCGAAGAGCCTGGAATTATCCACTTAGAATCCCCTTAGCCACAATGATTCCGGCACACACAGAACAAGCAAAGGCAGAGAAGTGTGCAGGGTCAAAGCATTAGACTCTCGTTCCAAAAGCTCTATTGCAACTTAAAATCACATTGACAGTGCCACCCATTTTGGTCCGTTGCTTTGCTGGTTCGTGTTCATTAGAAAGTTAGAAATCACGTCTGACGTTTCACCAACACAGTCCAGTTCTGTATTTCTTGATATGTAGTTGTGCTATGTATTAAACATTGTGTTTTTCAATGCCAAATCAAAACCAAAATTCTTTTTAATGAAAAAGGTGGGTGTGTGCGTGCATGTGCGGTGTGTCAGTTCCAGATGCTTTGGAAGAGACTGTGCAATAAGCAGCAAGCTGAGCAGGGCGCTACCTAACCACAGCCAGTATGAAGTTAAGTAGTTCCAATGAACCAGAGGAACCAAGACTACGGTGTCTTCATGATAGCTTCTCTCAGAAGCAGAGACATCACAGTAAGGATGATTCAGAGGTGCCTCTTTAAAATCAGGATCTACAGTTCGCTGCTGTCCTGGGATAATCATCTGCATACCTTCTCTTTCAAGAAGCTGAGAATGTCTCATTTGGTTTTAATTCTGCACAGCTGCTGGCCATGATACCTACTTCTGTGTAATTGCCCAGTTGTTGCAGCTGTGGAGGAATGAACCTCATTTCAGCTCCTGTCTTTGCTTAAGCCTTGCACCTTGCAGGAGAGTGTCTAACCAGGAGGCTGTTGTTCTAGGTCAGGTACAGATTCTACATTTTATAGTAGACGCTCAGTAAACTATAAGAACGTTTCTGTCAGTGGGCACTGGAGACCCAGACTCCCTTTTCCCAAAGGAAAAACCTAATTGTTACCCCTAATATTAGGCTGAAGAGGTTGCTCAACGTTTTAGTTTTTATAGCGTATTAATCGTGTGTTCTCTTCAACATGATAGCAGAGCTTCAAAAAGAGGCATGAAGAGTGCCTAGAATATATCCTGTCAATCAGGTAGCTGCAGACTGTTTTGCTCATGCTGAGGAAGGCATCAAGCCTGACTCCTCCTATGTCCTGAGTCTGCCCACTGAACTATGATATAACAGGAAATATGAGGTCCTTCCCCATCTGCTCCTTAAAAGAAGGCAGGGGATTACTTCACTCATGGTGTATGCTGGGTGTGTCCTGGGAATATTTACCCAGCTGAGCCCTGCAGAAACTTCTGAACGTTTTGTTTTCTGATTCAGATCTGCAATGAATGTGAGCTGGGCTGCTCTTGTCAAGGCTGGGGCAATTCTTAACCAGAGCATGGGCACAGCTACAGGTCCCTAGGAAACATAAAATAAAAAAGTGTGGAATCTCTTTACTTACTTGACAACTGAACTGCAGCTTTCAAAATAACCATTTGTGATTTAAGTGTTTATATTCTGCTTAGATCTCATTTCTGACACCCAAGTGCGTTACGATTTTGAAATGACAGAACTTAGCTAATACAAAGGTAAAAATTATGAAAGACAAAACAACCTGCGTCCAACATTTTTGGATCATCAAAGTCTGCATTATACAAGGCTGTGTAGTATTTTTTCCATTTGTTTAGCTAATCATTTTATGTAATGTATTTTTATTTTGTCAAATTTTATTTTGAAAAACTTGCCTTTTGTCTTTTTTTAAAAAATATTGACTTTTATTAGGAACAACAGAAATGGCTTTGTTTTTCAATACCTTCTCAAGCAGAATAAGTCATACTTTAACATTATGGTTCCAATACAAACTAATGAAATTCTAATGTAGGAAAACTATACAAAATGATAGCTAATAGGAAATTAATTCTTATTTTACTTTCATTTACTGCACTTTCAAAGTTGCAGGTTTCTATAAGCAGTCATTCCTGTCAGTGACAGCATATTACTTTTCGTCAGTCCCCTGCCTGCTACATAGCAATGGTAAGAAATACATCCGCACCTTCCACTCAGTTCTGCTAGTATATTGTGTATTTTGTTTCCAGAGTTCTTTTTCATTCTGATGTCTAGAGTACTGCTGAACATAAGGTTAAAAAAAAATGAATGTGAGGCCATATAAGTGAATTTGCAACAGAAAGGTAAAATTTTCCCCAAAGGGGTACCAGAAAATCATGCTGCATGTCAGAGGAGGAAGGAGGTGGAGTGGTGGGATCATGCTCATAATCAGTAACCAATACAAAAGATTTAAACCTCCTCAAACCAAAGCAGCCTATACAGGTAACTGTGCTTATACAAACATTAGCAAACTAAAAGAACACTGACCCCAGACTTCTTTATCACATTTTGTTGGGCAGGAAGTAAATGCCTTGTTGGTGTTCTGGTCTCCTGAAATTCTGTTTTGCACAATGTCATCTGCATTGGCCTAACTTCTGTACAGGATGCATTCTCAGTTTTCTACAATAAACTCACTGGATAGTGATGCTCCCGGAAATACTCTACTTCAGTACATTGCTGACAGCTACACGTGAAAGTGTTTATTATAGAGTGTTCTAGGCAGCATTTTAGTTTTACCTCTCTTAGATGCACCACCACGTTACCGAAGGCTGCAAGAAATACAAATTCCCTGTCCTAAATTCCTCCCTATTTTATCTTCAAGTGAAAAATTAAGAATTTAAAGGGAGATTTGAAGCAATAACTTATCAATTATGTCTTCTCTGTGCCAGGACAAACGGTATTTATGTTCATCCAAAGCATGTTATTAACCATAATTATTAAGTCTGCCAAGTTCCAAGAAATACAAATGGGATGTTTTCTACAGAGGCTGAAAGTATACTGTTATCCTTCTAACTCTCAGTTTTTGGGTTATTTCACACAAGAAATTGTCCAGTTGTTTTTAGGTGACTTGTTATTTCATCAGATGTCATATTTTCTTGCTTCATGGACATATAATTCTTATAAATGTGCATGGGAGTTGAAGGAACATAAGAAGAGAAGAACATACTGTATTTTGGAAATAATTTAAACCTATTTAATAAGTATTATAATGTTAACATATACCAAATCTTAATCTAACAAATTTTATCTGTAGTTTTACAGTTTAGGCTTAAAATAATACAAAAAAAATTAACAAAATTTCCAAGCATTTAAGTTGGATACTTAAAATATGTTTAATTAAATGTTTATGACAACATACCAGATATGCTTCTTTTTGACCCCTTATGTTTCATAAATATTAGCACTGTAGACATCTTTAAAACAGTTATTTTGATTAAATTTGTCAAGATGATTAAATATGTTTATACTGATCTGCCTCTGCACTTCCCTGTTTTATCAAAAAGCCTGGCTCAAACATTAGATCTACAATATATTCTTGAGGAGGAAGCAGAAGCCCAGCTATTCCTTGAGGAGAGTCATCAACCAATTTAACTTCATTCCAAGCTCTGTTATACTCGCCACGAACTAAACTACAGCCAATGCCAATTCTGTCTGCTATCACCTAAAAATGAAAGAAAAAGGAGTTAAAGTTAATACATGGAGCTTGTGTGATACACAGCAAGGCCAAGAGATGCTTAAAACAAAACCAAATACCTGAAAGGCCAAGAGCTTTCTTGAAATAGACTTTGTATATCTCTAAAATGTTACAAATTGTAAATCTTTATTGTTGGTTTTGCTTAGGAAGTGTAGGCTTTTAAATGTTAGTTCTACCAAATTCTATGCACAAGATGAAAAATATTAATTTTCACTCTTTTCAGACTCTGATACATTTGTTTATCAGCTAGCCCTTCAGATCTCAAAGTGCAACACCCACAGTACCAGCAATGTTTTTTTCTAGTTGGAAGCCTTATTTCTGAATAACATTTTGAAGAACTGTCTACATAAGCAATGAGGTGTAGGTACATTGCACACATATAGCTAGTATATAACATTAAGTGTAAAAATGTAACAATTTTATCAGTGTAAGTTTAGGACTGCTGCTTCACTCCAAAGCCTGCTCCTTGCTTTTCAGCCCTGCAAATGTGGGAAGCAATGAAATGGGGGAAGCAATGAAATGCAAGGCAAGCATCTGCTAGATGAAACACCTGCCTTTCCTCTGTGCTGCACTGTCACTGACAGACCTATAATGGTTTTCCAAAACTGCTTTCTCAGAATGCATCTGCTGTGAAAGAATGAAATCTTGAAAGGTTTCTAACTTGTTACAAATGGACAAGGATATCCATTGCTTAGACTGCTGTGGCTTTAAAAGAGATGATCCTACAAGAACCTACAAAGGTTCTCCGGGCAGTGGAAGGTAGAAGAACATCAGTGCTGCTTCAGCACAATTAATTCATGCCCTCAGACCTCCACAAAATGGGCCAGGAATTTTCTTTCCCCATGAATACTATAAATTTAGGATTATCGTCTTCTTCCTGTGTACTGCTTCCTAGGTCCTTCCCGCTCAATGTGCTAGGCCCTTGCTTCTCTCTTCCTTTCTATCCAAGAAGGAGAAAAGTCCAGCTACCCAACAGCCAAGGAAAAAGGATGGGACAGACAAGCAGGCTGCACCAGTACACCTTCATATAAAGCCAGAAGAAATAAATCTTCTCAGTCTAAGAAACCAGAACATAAAAGCTGTTATATCCTGTCATAGAATAGTGGATAGATACCAAATAAAAATTGTCCCAACAAGTTTACATTTGCAGCATGGAAAAAAAAGGAAGCTGCATAATTCAGTATTTTACAGTTTACAGAAAATGTAAAATGTTTTGACTCCAACTCAAATATTTTGGCTTTTTGCCATTTATCAAGTATTGTGCTGATATCACTTAAGACAATTTAATGACAACAAGAACAGTTTACAGGAAGAAGCGATGCTGGCTTTCATTCACTGGGAAATCAACATTGCCAGTGAAAAATGACTTAAGTGTATACAAAAGATTTTATATTAATATAAATATTATATTATACTGATGCAAGTATACTTTAGTTTATAGTATTCATTCAACATCAATGATATTACATTGTAAAATAAATATTAAAGTACCTTGAAAAGTAAAGCCCTGTGGTAGAACGTTCCTTTTTTGACTTTCCCGATAGGGACAATATTGCATTTCAGCTCAAATTCTATTTCACTTATGTGAAGTTCCCAGCTGAAGTCATGTAGTTTGTCTCTTTCAATTGGGCCACCCATCTTGTCTGCAACATACCTGTTCCAATTTATACCACGATCAATTACATCTATAATTCCTCTTGTACTTATCACAAAACATATCAAAATGAAATGTACACAAGCAATAAATGAACAACATATAAGACTAATACTTTTACTATGTTTGCTTTTATTATTTTATTTAGTAAATTGTATTTCAAATATGTTCACTGTTAAATACAGGTAGCCATCACTCAGGTCGTTCACATTTGTCACAGAGCTAAACCAAGGTGCAACAGTTGTCAGCAGAGATTCTGGAGAGGTCTAGTATAGGCACAAAGTCCTCAGAGAAAATCACCAATGACAGTGTAATTACTGAGGAAGTAGTGCAGAAGCTAGCATTCATCTTTACAGCTAACAGATTATGTGAGCTACGTATTACAGTCCCTAGCCCTTCCATTTGTTTCCAATAGTAATCAAGGCGTGAGAATATACATGACAAAAAAATAATGCCATAGGTAATGATCCCAACATAGGAAAGCAACTGTATCCAGAAAAGGTACTTCAACATCTGCATGTGCTTTCTTATTCAGTATTACGTTTACGGTTAGATTCTATGATTTAAAAAATATTTTCCAACCTAAATGATTCTACAATTCTATGATTCTATCAAAGCCAATATTTGGGGGGCAAGGAGCATGTATTTATCCATTAAAAAGAATGGATCAGTCAAAGAAACAGATAAGAACTCACAATCTGTGCAAATGTTGCCAAAAGCATGTCTTTGGGGTGACTGTGCACCCACAGGTAGGATCAAGCCCCCACCTCCTCATGTATACACTTTCACCTCCCCTACGCGTGGTCCCTGTACGTCCCCTTTGTTCCTCCAAGTGTCCTCAGTCACAGGCACGAATGTTATTGGGAGTTCTCACTCTGGACAAGGTGTTGCAGAGCTGACATGGGAATCACAAGCCACTGCTTCAGGCAGGGAGCTAACATGTGCGTCAGCTCCTCTGCAGGAACTGCGAACAGGTTCTGTCCGCACAGTGCATGCAAGGCAACCTCAAAGGCCTTTCTCAAAACCTAGGGCTCAAGGAGGTACTGGTTGCAGCAACAGGGCTACAGGGAGTTATCACTGAGCAGGCTAGACATGGTATCTTGAAGATGGGAATTACTGGAAGAGCCTGAAGAAGTGGGGGGCTCCAAGCAGCCACTTGAGCTGCTTGTGCCTACAGCCAGCTCTCAGTAAAGAGAGCAAATCTTGAGCTGACACGCACACCACTCTCGTGTGCACACAAAGATGTGCTGTGCTTGTTTAAAAGGAGAGAGCCAGCACTATAGCATGTTCCCTCGTCCACCCTGGCTCCCCCCTCGGCGAGCACAGCAGGAACTCTGCGTGGGCTGCCAGGCTGCCGAGGGCTGCTGCAGCTGCCTCCTCCTCCGCTTCCTATTCAACACACGCTATTCAGGCAGCTGCTTAAAATGGAACATACACATAAAAATCCCCACAGAAAACATTCTACTTAAATTTCCCATGATTGCTTCGCTGGGTTGTGTGTCTGCAAGTATTTCATTGGTGTGTTTGAAGAGCGGATTTGAAAGAGCATTTTATGGATTCCACCTTGAGGAAGGCAGCATGATTTATACACAGCTGGATAGTTAAGGATGAATATCTGTCCTGTCAAATTTTGCAATCAACAGAAAAGTCATTCCTCGTATCACATTAGACCACTTCATCAAAAATGAGGGTTAGTAGGAGAAAGAAATTTTGTGAGACTCAGTGGGATCTGACGCCAAACTCTCCAGATTCAGGAGGTAGCCAGGAAACTGCTATGATAGTAAAGGTTAAACTAAGGAGAAGATGAAAGCAGACACACGCTTGGAGATGACAGTGATTGGTGCCCAGGCTGAGTAGTCAGTGTAACTAATGAATCACACATTGATAACAACACTCTGTACACACGCCACTGCAATATTCTGGCACTATTAAATCATCTGGATGTTAATTACAGTAGCACCTAAACACTACACTAGAAAAATGTCTTGTGCTTTTGTCTCTATATAAAAACAAGAAAGTTTCTGTCCCAAGGGGTTTCCAAACCAACTAGGCAAGAGAGATTCTAGGAGAAATAATAAACATGATACATGCAAATTGCAACAGTCTCTCTATTAGGCTACGTTTTTAGCCTGTGCATTTAGGCTCTGCAGCACCTGGGTCTCTCCTGTTCCCTGATGTTATAGATGCTATATGCAGCTGATGTGTTCATTGGAAAGGATCAGTACAGATATATAAATGTGAGAAATCCTGAAACTGTCCATATGAATATTTTCAAAATGAGAAATTTGTACCCTTTTGTTGCAAGTGATATTTTATTTAAAAAAATTAAACTAATTACAATAAAATCAGAAACAAGAAGCTTAAAATCTAAAATTATGCCAAAATTCTGGACCAAAGCTGATTTGGATTCCAATCAAGGATAGGAAAAATAACAAATTTGGAAAAGTTGTCCTTGGATGAGAAAACTGTTATTTTACCAGTTCAACTTATTTTTATTATTTATGGAAAGACAATTCAGTACTCACTGTGCAAGAGCCACAACCTGTGTCCGGGTAGTAGTTAGTGGTAGAATTGTTTTGGTAGCATCATTAAGGTATTCCAGTAAAATGAAGTCAGGTGGTGGTAGCCAATGTGAATTTTCTAGATTTATTTCATCCTGGACTTCAGATATAATCTGAGTAACTTCTTTCATCTTTTCCTCTTCTTTTTTCCCCTTCCCTTTTCTTACATAGAAAACAATATACACTTGTTAAGAATACTGTCATCTCTGAAGTTCAGTAGTTTTCCAACAGGACATTTTAGAGAAACTGATTTTGGGGGGAGGGTAGGGGAAATCTTTTCTCTTGATAAGGAATAGTCCAAAATCTATAAACCTGTAAAGAATATTTGTGAAACATGCCCTCAGGAGATGGTTAGGAACCAAATGACACTAGCTCCATATTAATATTCCTGTAAATTCTCATTTTATGTTTGTCTTTGGCTCTGATATGCTTTTCCCATACATGGATTATCTAGGGGAGTAGATACCTATGCACAGCTACATAATAATAACAACAAGTTTTTTGAGAGTATATAGGAAACATTTTTAGACAATTACAGATTAGTTGTATGTGGTCATGAATTAAAATAATTAACTCCCACGCGTTTTTACTCTATAGAGATCTGGACTTCAAATAAAGAAACAAATGGTATCAAGAGCATGGCTGAAATCTTGACAGGACATGCCAAGTGGTAGTCTCTGTAGTTGCAAATCCATGTACTTCAAGCTTTATACCAACAACAACACAGATGAAGATTTTATAAGATATCTGGTTTTGCTGACTTTTTTCATTGTACACACTACATTTTTCACTAATGTTCAGAATCTGAAAAATGACTGTGACCTTGAACAGGCATCATAAGCACCTAGCAGAGGTATAAATTAAATGCTTGTTCTGCTTAGCTAGAATACTGTGCATTTCACGTTATGCAGCAACTATAAAATCAGTATCTTACCAGAAGTATCATTCAGATCTATACAATCAGACAGCTTAGGATTTTTCATTTGTGTGAACACATAGAACTTGTGTTTTATAAGCATTATGTCTTTTTTCAGCATAGGTTATGAGTAATCCTAATGTGAAATATAACAAAATTTATTTCCTTTGTTTAACAGTTCTGGCTTATTTATTAAAATCCATAATACTTCTGGCATTCTTGGAAGGAAAAAAAAGGACACTAGAGTACATGGCTCCAGGGCACACTATAATTGCATGCTTTTCAAATTATTCTCAAAATTTTTACAATGAACAGCACTCTAAGGATGGAAGGCATTGGACAAAGAAGAAGGACATATACCATTATCCGCAGTCTAATTCAAGCAATTTGTCTTCAGAATACTTTGCAAACTTTTCTTTTACCTATTGAGATTTATCATATCCACAAAAAACCCTTTTCATAGATTCCATAAAACACATTTTTTTAAGAAGGATAACCAATTAAGATTTAATCTTCAAATTACAGAAAATTCATCACCCTCTTAAATAAACTGTACTGGTTATTAATTACGCTTACACTTGAAAAAAGCAGACAAACAGTTTTCTTTATCTAATGTGACTCTATTTAACTATAGCCAGGGGACGGTACAATGCTAGCTGCAGCTACCTACTTCTCCATTTATACATTTATGATTATGGTTAAGAATACCCTGTTTAAAAAGAAAAACAATAATTCCCACCCGTCTGGTGTCTTACTTAGCAAGTTTTCAAAACAACAGTTTCTATAAATGGTATAATTCCTGTTCCTTGACCATTTTCTCTCTTTGTCCCCTGCGCTTCCCTTCCATTCTCCCCGTACTTTCTTATCCCTATGAAAAGTGCACTGCTAAATTATAGTGCTATAGCAGAAGAATTTGTTCCTTTTTCCTGTCTACTCAAATGACTCTTGAATCACTCTCATTCTCCTTGTTTCCAGTTTTCAGAAGAAAAGACCTAAGGAGGATGAGTCTGAACAGCGGTTTGTTTGGTTTTTTGCTGTTTCTTATTTCTCTGACATATGACTATGTTCTGTTCCCTGGTGGAATGGCTCATGCAAGGTTGTTTTCCACACCCATCTCTACCCTACTCCTCAACTCTTCGGTTCACGTCTGTCTAATAGTTATCTCATAAGGAACTGTAGAGTTGCTGTCTTGCAGCTCAGTGCTGTAAAATCAGTAACCACTGCAGCAGACTTCTATCTTTGTCCTATGCTCTTTTTTATCCCCATTTTATTTACCAATGGGAATTATGACATCAGAAAAAAAACCACCCCCCTTTCCCAAAGTTGTCTTACTAGTCGTGAGACATACTTGCTGCAAATGCAGAGGAACATTGCAAAGGAGAACTCATGGCAGTTAACAGCCTCCAAGCTGTTTCTGATTCCTGTTGCAACTTCAGTACAAAAGTCCAAAGGGTCACCAGAGAGTCAGTGTGGGGAAGAAGGCACCAAAAGACAGCCATGACACCTACTTTCCGTCCTTTTTTTTTTTTTTTTTCCCACAGCTTAATGCCTTGGCTGTCTTTAGAAAAGAAGTAAATGAGCATTGGAAAGTATTTCCTTAAATGCTGTACTGGAACATAGCATAGAATAAATGCACATTTATCAGTCTACATTAAATACTGTCTTTTAGCCCAGTCAATGTGTATATCAGACATGCAACTGTTTGATCAAAAATGTTGCTCTCTGCCTATGCAAATATACGTCAAACCATCAACTAGGCGCTTCCTCTACATCTAATTCGAAACACTTCCAGCAGACAATTACAACTGCCCTTTCTCTTAGTTTTCAGCTATGGTTTATATAAAGTAGTATCACTTTTTCAAAACAATGGCTTTAAACCATGTTCAGTAGTACTTTGCAAAATAATGATAAACAGAAACATATGATCAAAGGAAAAAAATATGTAGGAAAAAGTCCAAGCATGTTTGAGACTTGGAGTCAGACACTGACCTTCAAGTAACTCCCATATATCTCACAAATTAATAATAATAATGATGTATGAATTATGGATTCAAAATGAATGACAATGGGGTTATAAATCATACAACTTCATCATGACATTCAAAAGCAATTATTTTATACTTGAAGAGAGAGGTCTTTGTATCCCTGCAAGTTTACTATGGGAAATTGAGGCAGGTATTTGTTTTTCGTAAATAATTTTATTTTGCTTTCCAAAATTGTTATGGTTGCTAACAGAGCAGTCGCTTAATTAACATAAATTACATTAAAAAGCAACTATCCAAGGGTATTCTCATCTCACACTGCAGTGAACAAACGTATTATTTTGTCAGAACAGGTCTCTACACTCTGCCCAGCTGCTTGAGACTATGCAACATGGTCTATGACTCTAGAGCATCTTCTGGGATGAAGAAATCCCTCACTGGTGAAAAGCAAATATAAGTGGGGCTCTGTATCTCCCCTTACCTCCTGCTCCCTTTGAGTAAACCGGCATATGCATGGTGGGTCATGACCAGAGCATGCTGGGCATTGAGAGGACATGGTAAATGAGCAGAAGCTAGAACAGGCCTGGTAAGACACTCAAGATGCAGTATCTACTATTTTGCATCCTGAAACAGGAGCCTTCCACAAGGCGATCCATATAATCCATTTCAGGTATTTACTACAAAATTATTTAAACTGAATTCCAGAAGCGCTTGCAGTCCAAATAACTAGTCAAATGTAAATGTCTGCCTTGTAAGTCAATAATTTTTGGATAGACTTACTTCACAATCTGGGTCCTGATCTAAGTAAGAATCTCAACCCTTCACAGCCAGTAGCTATTATCTGTCGACAATTTGCATGTCAGTTCTAAACAAATGGATACACATCAAATTGAAAGTATAATACCTTAAGCATTTTTCTCTAGTGCTGCCTCTGCGCAGGGAAGACCGTCGTCCAGATATCTCCTGCTTTTCCTCCACCGGAGATACCATGGAACTATTGAGATCACAAAGCAGGTTCCAGTTTTCTCTTGATTTCATCTCTCAAGCACACACAGATACATACATACACAGAAATATATAAGCAGTCTAAGAAATCAACTCTATCAATAAAATGCCTGTACAGACAGTAGCATATCATAGTTCATGGATGAGCTCCGAGCTAAAAATTGCAAACATACTACCACAGTATCTACAACAGATAGTCCATCTCTCCCTTTTTTCAAACCATGCAGCAGTTAGCATTTTCTAATGCCCACCTCTGACTAGAATTAACAGCCCTGAGGCATGGCCAAGGGCCCCTATACCATAAAATAAGGAAAATTAGGAAGCCAGGACTGGGACCCACAGAAACCAGCACAATAAATGGTCAGCTCACTCAGTCAGCAAACAGAAAAGCCAAGGAGGTTACATCATGTTCCTATCAAGGACTAGACACCATACCACTGATGGCAAGGAGGCCCTATTTAGACTGGTTTTGGAATCCAGAACATTTCCTTGGAATTAGGCATTCTGGCCTTCTCTGAAAGCCACTGCTGTGGTTGTGATTGTGCTGCTGTTGTACATAGTTACCAGCTCAGTCGGGAGACCATGGTTCAGTTTTCTTCCATGGGAACAAACTAAGGGCTAAGCATTATATATATAAAAAATCATCAAGACAAGGACTAGAACTTTGGTGACTCTCTCAGATAAGTGCCGTAACAGCTGAAGTAGAAAGCTCTGTTCATTATGCCTCTTCGTTAGTGAACAGCTACAACAAACCAGAATGAGACTGCTAAATCCCAAATATCATGTTATCAGCTATCTGCAAGTGGGAGGAGCAGGCTCAGATCCTCTTTTGTAAAAGAAGGAAATTAACTTCTCACAACAAGGTTAGAGATTCTGACCTATTTGGTGTGAGCAGACAAGCCCACCAGATCAGTTCCACAGAAAGGACCACAGGACTGTACCTAGTGTATGGTATGGATCACAGGGAGCCCTGCAAGAGTGAGGCATTTTTAGGTTTGCTGCTGTCAAAACTGGGACAATCCTGAGGACACCCTTCTCAGCTTTTAGTCATCTATGGAATTTCATTGGAAGAAATCTAATCTAGAAATAGGGTTGCATGTAGGCAGAGTAGGAACTTTTAATGGGTCTAGGTTCTAAAGTGAGAAAGAACCTCTACCCTAATTTCCCTCTGTCTCGGTTGTCAAGCTGTAAAATAACAGCATTTCACTGCCTCCCAGGGCTACTGAAAGCAAAAACAGCCAAACTCAAATACAGCATGAAGAGGGAGGACAAATAATTACTAAGATAGAGGAAGATTACTGCAAGTAGGAGGTGAAAGCAAGACTCCAAAAACATATTTAACATTGTATCTGAGCATTTGTACTCTGTTAGGAAACTTCCTATAACTATTTTCAGTCAGAATTCCATTTCTAATGTTAGAGAGCAATAACAAGTAAATCTTAAGACTATACCTTCCTTTACTGCCTTTTCTTGAAGTAGAAGGTGACAAGAGAGTCTGTTCATAAGCTGAATCTTGTGCCTTTTCCTCTACTGCAAGGACACTGAAATAGAACAAAATATTTTTGCATATTATTTGCAGAGATAGTATTTGCATGTTAAGCTATGAAAATGGAGTTCTGATTTTAAAGCACAGTAAATATATTAATAGAAAGTATGTAAGTGGAAGAAATAACATAACCACTAATAAACCAGATACCGATTCATGGATCAAAAATGAAATACAGAATACCAAATGATGGACAAAAGAATAACTGGGGACTAAGACTGCTGCCGAGGTGCAAAGGCAAGAAGCTGTATCAAACTCAAAGAAAGAAAACCTGATAGTTAAAGACAACTCTAGGGATCAACAAAGAGCATGGAAGTTTAATTTGTCACAGATATTCTCAGACATCTTTATGGTGTCATATACAAGCTTAAAAGGGAAGCTAATGATACTGTAAACCAAATATGTGATGTGTTGACAGAGAAGAAGGTTTTGGACTTGCAAATATTGGTAGAGCATTCTTTGATCTGCAAGACTGTTTACAGGAGATGACTCCCAGTTAAACAAGCCCAGTACCAACTTCCTGCATTCAAATCTAAGAAGATTTGTTCGGCTGGCTTCAACTTAAACAGAGAAGAAAAGGACACAGGTTCTTTATCAAGCCTGAAAGCTTGATGCTTGGCTTTGTCCTGCCTCTTGGGATGCTGTGCTTAAAATTCCATGCATTTGTCTGTACAAGAAGATCATCAAATCATAGGTTTCACTGTCGCATGTTGACATTCGGCTTAGCTGACATAATTATTATGGCAGATGACAAGCTTTGTTACAACTAAGAAAACACTGAGTGTCTCACCATCAGGAAGGGTGTAAAATGAATGAGTCTTAATGGCTAAGTTAAAAAAAGGCAACTCAACTGAATAAACCATTTCTGTCTAGAGCAAAAAAAAAAGTTATTTTCCAAATTCTTACTTTATAAAATACAGATCTCTTGCCTTCCAGGACATGAAGCACTATGCTGAGATCTATTTTATATATGTGTAAAAATATATACACTATGTAGTTCATACTGGAAACAGTGGAAGTGATGGAAAAGATGAGCTATTGCAGTAAATGTTGGTAGATAAACATGACTCACTCTTCTTGTGGTTTAGCATTAATGAAGATTATGGCTCGACGGTCAGTAAGCTCTTGCATACTCAGTTCCTCCAAAGATAGAAATTTCACTCCAGGTTTTATCTACAAGAAAATTAGAATAAAAGACAAGATTTTCTGTTCAGTTAAAGATGAAGAAAAAAATATTTAAGATACCTAAAGAGTTATTTAGAATTCCTAATCTCTATCAGAAGACTTACATAAGAACTTCTAAAGACATCCAAAATATGTGAAATTGGTTTCTTCTTAATTGCATTTTCTTCATCAATTTTCTTAGAAAAGATTGTTTATAAATAATTTAACTTGTAATTATTGTTACTATATAATTCCAAACAGTTCTAGAAAAGGAAATGTTCCTGCCTCTGAAGGCTTCACAATAAAGGACAGAATTCTCAAAAGCAACCAAGTGCTTTAGGAGCAAGTATTTCACTGATTTTCAGTAAGACTGGTATTTTTAATTCATTTGGGCATTTTGAAAAGTCCTTCTCAGATTTAAACTGAACACAGCACTAACAAGTGATATAGTGGAGTCATTCTTTATATATAAACAGTGCTTTGTGAGAGAAAGGGTCACGACCAAGGTGAAAACATGAACTCTCTCCTTCTTTATGTAAAACTAAACAAACAAGAAGTCCATAGGTCATTCAGTGTCAGGTTAGTGTTAAGTATACTGCAGGGAAAGATGCCAAAAGAAAGGATCCGGAAAGGAATTAGGAACTGCAAAGCTTACATAGGATTGGGAAGAAGATCACAATTGAGGGATGGCATGAAGATGATGAGATTTCATCCATAAACGAAGGTAGTCAAAAGAAATTAGTATAAAAGCTGGGAAACTTCTGACTTTTGCTATAGTACTCTTACTTTTTCTAAATCAAGAAGAAAATTTTAGTCTAAGTAATTTATTTAAAGTTGCTTACCCGACCACAATCATAGAATCCGTCAGTAATGATATTACTTGGTGATAAATAACCCGTCTGGCTGTACTTCTGGGAAAGATTGTTATCAAGTAGCTTTTCCAGAGCAGCTTCACTGAAGTTATTTTTGCGCCCTGTTGATAGATTAATTTCTTCTAGGATGTCTAAAGCACTGTTAAACACAATACAAAGGTTAATTCATAATTAAGTACCAAGTAATTGTTATTATACAATTCAGAGTTCGTCTTCAGCATTGCCAAGGCCAAGACAGATTCATTTCCAAGTGCTAGCCTGGTGGCCCCTGAACCAGCAAGGAGCTGTCTGTACTGCACAGAATTCTTTCTCTAAGGGAAGAAAATGCCTTGCAGTGCTTAAAAGCAAAAAGCAATTCTTGTAGGCAGTTAAACAGTTACATAAGGAAATGGTGACAGGATGCCACAACCTTTTACCAGAAGGATGTTAGGTACCACAGAGAACTTGAGAAAAAGAAGGATGTAAAAGCAGAGTAAAAGGAACAATGTTCAGAGCTGGCCATATGATGCACTTTGGGGAATCACTCTCTCTCCCCAACTTGTAATGCAATTTGCAGATTCCATTGCACAGTGTGTGAATCCTTCTGGTTTAAGACTGTTATTGTGCTTGGGGAGGAAGAGTTGGCAGAGATTTGCAAAACACAGATGAGCATGGAAACACAAGCATCACCAGGTGCAGGATTTTTGCAGCACGGACGTAAAAACAAATCATGTTGGGACATGGGTGAACAGGAATTCATTCCTTAAGCTGGTTTTGGCACTGAAAAACAATACTGATAACTTCTGACCAGAGAAACTTAGGAAAAGGTCACTAAGAAGAAGAACGAAGTTCAATCAGGAGAACATAGCATAGTGCAGTTTCGGAACTGTTTAGGAATGCAAACAACAGAAAAAAAGAGGGAGATATTCATATGTGTTTGTGTGTATGTGTATATTCAAATTTTTATCTGTGTTTGTCTATACACATGTGCAGACATTCTTTGCATCCTATGGAATCAATTTTATATATATATATAATGAACTCCATGTTTAGACTGCCCATTTCTCTCTCTGAACTACACAGGGAGCCTCAGCTGTGGACATTTACAATGTAGACTTCTGAAGGTACATCAGACGGATTCCAGAGAACAAGTTTTTCAGGCAAGGCAAATGACAACCTTCTCTTTTAGAAGAGAGCAACAGGAGAAAACAGTAAAACAGCAGTACAGGCTATTTGTCACACAGCATACGGCAACAAAGTCAGGTAACCAGCAAGTAATGCAGGGAAGAAATTTAAAGGGGAAAATGAGTAAGAAAAGCCTAATGAGTACAGCAGAGTCAAAGACAGACGACATTACAGGCACAATGGCACATTATCCTCATGTGGAGGAAAGACAAGCCAAAAAGGGACAAATATGGCTGTGTCAAAAATTTTGCAAAGACCCAAAAGCCAAAAAAGGCCTCATACAGAAATGACACTTCCAACAGGGAAGAAAAAGTAAGGGGAAAAAACAAAAGACCTACAGGCAAAGTGAGATGCAAGTATTCAGGGATGGAAACAAAAATAAATGTTTCATATGCTGCAAGTCAGAGAGGAAAACGAAGGCCTATTATTCAATGTGGGAAGAAAACTCGTAACAGATGGTACAGAAAAGACTGAAGTGCCTGATGCCTTTTTTTGCTTCAGTTTTCATAAAAAAGGTTGCAAGCAGATGCCTGCCAGTAATATTAACAAGGAGGTGGAAACAGTAGGCTTAACATGTCTAGAATAAGTTTGAAGAGGCAAAGTTATCAGTGCCTGAGGAGACTTACCCCATACTACTCTATAAATTGTCAAAAGCAACCTCTGAAATATTTATAATTATATTTGAAAATTCAGGGAGAACCGGCTAGGTGCCAGGAGATTGAAGGGCAAAGATAGTATCTAGATTCAAAAAAGAAAGAACAAGGAAATAATACTGATCATTTATCCAAATTTCAGTGTCCAAAGGACACCATATCAAATTATTAAACCACCAGTTTGCAAGCAACAAGAGATAAGATGATAAGAAATAGCCATTATGTATTTGTCAATTATAAATCATGTAAAGCCAATCTAATCCTTTCTGTGATACGGTAACTGACTTAATGTATAGGCAGAAGAAGTAGATATGAGATACAAGTTGACTTTGAGATATGTTTTGACTTTAATAAGTCTTTTCACATATTCCTACTTGAATACTTATGAGCAAGTCAGGGAAATATGATCTACATGAAAATAAAATGAAGTAGTGCCTGACTGGTTGAAAAACTATGCTTAATGTATTATTATCAATAATATGCTGTCAAACTGGAAGGACACATAAATTAGAGTCCTACTCTGATACTGTCACAAAGAAGGGATTAAATAAGAACAGTGCTATATGCAAGACACAGAAAAAAATTACTGAGCTTTATTTGATTGTGGTATGACCTCAGGTGAAGTACCTCATCCAGGCTGGGAGACAGGACTTCAAAATGGCATAAATAAATGAGAGAAATTCAGAGATGTGTGACAAAATGATACAAGCTTTCGAAACAAAAAAGTTTAACATTTTTACTTTGCCATGGAAAGGAAACTGAAAGAGGGACATGGAATGGGAGAAAATCAGTAAGTTAAACTCTAATTGCTATAAAAAGGTGGTTATTCAATCCTACTGAAAGTAGGACAGCATGTAGTTGAATTGTTTTACTGTATGGGATATTTAGAACTCAGAAACCCCTTCCCATTGTAAGGATACTTCAGCACTGGAACAGGTTACCTTGGAAAGTTGTGAAACCCCCTCAGAACTGGTATTTACACTTAACAAGCAAAAATATGTCAGTGTAGCTGATTTTAGTCTTGCAGTGGGCAGATGAATAACATCACTTTGAGGTCCTCTCTGGACCTAAATTTCTGAGATTCTCACTCTGCAGAATGCCCTCATAGATGGATTTTAAGTATCTGTGCAGTTATCAGAAAAGTGTCCAGCAGAGGGAGCAGGGAAATTACATATATTTTAATCTAACAATAACTAAAAGAGTCACCCCGTGTAAGGAGCACTGTGCCATAATTCTTATAACCTAAAACAGCTTGTGTAATTCAGATATTGATATATGGAACTTGGAGTTTCTAAGAAGGAATAAAAGGGAGTCTCTTTTACAAGACACTTCAGCACACCTGTGGTTAACCAGCGTTTGCAAAACAAATTTAGCCTGTGTATAATAAAGAAAATTTATCGCATATTGAACTTAGCCAGAAACCTTAATTTCAGTTTCATATGTACAGGGCACTGTAGTCCCTAATTTTGACTGATATAAGCACATCTTCAAGATAAAGCCTAATTCAGTCACAGAAACAATACACGTTTTTATAATTCCAGACAGTTCTCTCTTCAGGCTTGCATTTTTTTCTTAAGACTTCAGTTACTTAAAATCAATACCATTTCATCTGTAACATCAGTGGTGTAAAAATAGTTTCTGCTTACCAGAAAATATAGCCTACCTTTGTTATTCTGCTATAAACATGTAAAGATCAACAATAGAGTTCTCTCACAAAAATCTTTCCTCTGCCCCTTGATAGTATTTCTACTCACCCTAGCCTGCATAGTTCAACAGCTGTTAGTTCATCACTTGCACAGACCATAACAGCCCAACAGGCATTTCTTCCGACTTCTTCATTCTTAGAATGCAGCAATTCAACAAGTGGTCCAAGTCCACCTGCATTTCGTAACTATAAAAAAAATGAAGACATTGCCACTTGCATATTTCATCTGTCCCAGCCAGAACAGTCTGTGAAATTTACCTTCTGAAACATTCAAGCCTTGCAGATGAGCTATGCTGGGCTGGTAGAAAGGCCACTTATGGGGATTCTCTCCTTCGTGAACTCTGCATAGACTGGAGCTGAAGTGAGCTTCAGAGTGGCTCAAGGCACACACCCTTCCTGACTCTGGGTTGCTTTTCAGTTATTAGATTGCAATGTGGAAAGAGACTATGCAACCCAACGCTAGCACGGAGTTACACAGCGTTTTCTGTGTTCTGTTGCCTCCTAGCAACTAATTTACATCACAATATATTTGAATTTGTATTGTATTGTATGTATGACAATCTTATTAACATCCTGTTCTCTTGTGTGCTTCAGTATCTTTTCTATACACACTGGAGGAAATATCGCTGATTTGAATTTTTGAAGAGAAAGACATTTTAAGGACACTGAAAGAGGTAGATTAATTCTCTATGCCCCTTATTCATGTCCTAATTAACAGCCTTGACCCATGAGAAATCCCCAGCTTATGATCTATGCATGTACATCGCATCATTCTTATTTATAAAAAGAAAATAATGTGACCATTGATAAACAGTGAAAAGTTCAACTTCCTGGATGCCACTGATCAAGGGATTAATTATATTTCAAGTTTTATTTGAATTACATTTACTCTATGCACATCCATTATCTTATAAATCAAAATCAGACATTGCTGTTCAGGCCTTGAAAGTGGGCAATAGAACAACTCTGAGGGAGAGTAAAGAGGACAGAACTTCTCATCTTCAAAATACAGCTGACAGTTGCAGCTGCTCATAAACATGTGGATTAAGATATAGCCCTGGTTAAAGCTCATTGAAGCCACCAGAAAGCTGTAAAACATTAATCTGGTGTGAGCAAATACATCAGTAAAAATACAAATTTAAAAAAACCCTTTCCAAGTTCTCATGACAAAGGGAGCTAAATTCAGCTAAACAGCCTATGATGAAAGTGAAAAATTATTTACTATCTAGAAACCCCAGGACTTTTAGGACACACATACAAAAAACAAAGATCCTAGGCAAGTATAACACCAACCTCAGGATCTAGAAACGTTACAAATAACCTTGAAGAAGAGTTTTACCTCAGTTCTTGCATCAGCATCACAACCAAACACAGCTACAGCAAATGCTGCTTTGCTTTGCACTTGGCTGTTGGTTGAGTGTAACAGTTCTGCAAGTGCGCTCATAATACCGTGACTCTGGATATTTACGCGGAATGGCTCTTGCACGGCCAGGTTTGTTAGCACTGTGGCAGCATTAGCAATGGCTCCATCCCTCTGAGCATTTAAGGCATTTACTAATGGCTCAATTCCTTCAGCCTCAGCAACAGCACTAGCAAAATGACAAAGAAAAAAAAGAAATATTTGTTATTTTAGGACCAGTTTTTTCTTCTTAGTGTGTTATATTTACCAACTAAATTATTATTATATTTTAAGAATATAAAATATTGCTTACCTGCAATAAATTGCAAGACTGATGTTTATATTCAAAATTATAGTATGAAATTGAAATTAAAAAATGAAGCATTATACCCCTCTTTCTGATGCCTTAAATATATTTGACTCACAATGTGAAGCTCAAGAGGCACGACCTAAGCAGACAAAGCAACTTCTGTATTCTTTAACTTATTAGGACATGGATTCTTTTTGAGGCTTCAAAGATACAGAATTTCTGTATCTTTAGTTCCAGACAAATGCCTCTGCAGAGTTTTATCACCTCTCCCCATAGTCATTGTAGCCCTATTTTTAATGAGGATCATAGTGCACGGAATATCATGTCATTGTGTTGTCTCTGTACATTTCTGTGATTGGGTACTTAGGTGGCATAAGCATAGTACAGCAAACTTCTGCCACTCTTACAGAGTAGGTGCACATGGTGCAGTTCAGTGCAATACAGGAATTACTGTGCTGGCTTTACACAAGCTGATGTACACAGCAGGAGTACAACAACCACACCAGGATAAAGTTCAGGGCTGGCTCTGACTGTGGTTCCACATCAACTAGTCTATCAGCAGCAGATTCAGTTTAAATATTCCCGCTGCTCCCAAATGATCATTGCAGTCATGGCTAAAGGGTGCTGCCCCTCAGCAGTGCTGGGACAAATGCTGGGGTGTCTGAGTTCTGAGCTAGACCTGCAAAACCGGTCATTTTATTTGTTTGCAAAATATTTTATTTTGCTTGCAAATAAAATTAAATTGTTGGGATTATTTTAAGGGTCATTTCATAGATCTAGGTTAGAGAACAGCCAATAAAAAACAGTTGAAGAAACACTACCAGGCAGGAAACAGAAGAAGGTGCAGGCAGCTGCACTACTAGAGGATATATTTGCAAATAACTAAATCTGATGTGCTGCAAAACTAATAGTCATGTGGGTCTACTCCTCAGTCACAGCAGAAGGAACTGGCCTGTGCACACTGTGTCTTAACACTGCTATTCTGCTGCCGGCACTCATCTGGGCAGTGCCTTTTAAAAGAAGAAAAAAGTCAACTTCACATTCTATATCTGGGATAAACAATGTATTTGAAAGCAACTGGTCACATGGCTTACAAGGATAGTAAACTACAACTGATGCACACCCTGAAGACATTACCTGGCCTGGCTGAGGGGAAACTACCATGCTCTAACAAATCTGGCAAGGCATACATTTCTGGGTTACCACCTCATCATGTATTCTTTGGTTTCTTTGCCACAGGCAAAAGAGACTACTGATACAAATGCAGTTTACATTCTTCAAATGCCATAAGATATTTCATAACTTAAGATTTTTGTTGACCTTCTTGCCAAAACTTTGCTTTCTACTAAACAAAAGGAACTTATTTCTTTGTCAATATCATCTTATGTTTGTTTCAGTGGCATTTTTTCCAATGTTATTATAAACCAGCACGCTATAAAAATTGAATTGTCTTCCTTCTGAGTTTGTATATAAAATTTGATCAAATGATTTGAGGCATATGTCCAATTTACTATCTGCTTTTAGTAATTTTACATTGGGCTCATCTGTTTGTTAAACAAAAGTTGGCAATATTGTTAGCAATGGAAATGTGCAGATGGCGATTTGAGTTTTCATTGCAACTGCTTTTTATACACCCTTTTAATACATTTTATCTGTATCAAAACCATAACAAACATTCCCATCTCTATACAAGCGTATCTAAGCACTTCAACAACAGAAGAGTGTACATTTTTTATAATTTTGCTAAATCTCTGTCAACACACTAATAAGAGAAATCTGGATGTGAAAAATCTTACTTTTACTGAAACAGCATTTAAAAAAAATCTAACCTTTTGGTAACTTTCACAGTTACAAAATAAACACAAGCTTAGAAGTATTACACGTATAAAAAACAGTTATGCTATCTAAGACTGTCAAGGCATTGATAAAAACAAAAAAACCTCAGGAATGCTGATGGCCATGCTCTTATGCAAACAGGACAGAAAGCAGAATACATGCCAACCTGTGCTATAAAATCTTATTACACAGGCAACACAACATAGATCTTTCTGTGAACTGATCTAGTGCAAGTATCTCCAAACCAGATTTTCAGAGAAGAGGATGCAGATACTCTGGAGTATACCTGGAATGAATCAGCAGAGGCTAAGGGGGTTTGTTAGCCTGATCTCTTCCTCAGCTACAAGGTGATGGCAGATCGCAGGCAGTGCTAGAGCATGGGTGTAAGGACGGCTGGCAGGCAGGCCGTAGTTCCCAATTTGGAAAGCAAGGGAAAATGCAGCAACCCAGGGACTGAAGGTGAGTAGGGTTATTCGCTTGGGTGCAGCATAAAGGTATAGGGCCAGTTTGGTGTTGGCTAACTAATACTCCTGGAGCACCAGTAACTTTAGTGCAAGCACTTCAGTCTCTGTTCAGAAGTGAATCCCAAGGTTTTCGATGTCCTGCACTGCGCTCCTCAGACTGTCTTCAATCAGCTGGATTTCTCCTTATCTGGGCGTCCTCCCTTCCCTTCCCTCCTTGACAAGATAAAGAGCTGAAAATGTTTGTTTGGTTGGGGGTTTTATTGGTTATTTTTTGTTTTGTTTTGGTTTTTTGGGTTTTTGTTTGTTTGTTTGTTTGACCTAGGTAAGGCCACTGTATTTGTAGGTTCTGTGGTTAATATTGTCTTCTCTTCCCCGCAAAAATTTTATCGAGATTTACAGCTTCAGGAGTGCTGTAGCTCTACCCAGGCTCCAGTATACAAAAAAATCCTGGACATGTTGACGGCACATGTAAGTATCAGCTATACACCACATGTATCAGAGGTTTACTGGAAAACATAACTTCCATAGCACATGTAACAATGACATGACGTACCTGTTGGCAAAGTGTGGGAGAGACTCACCACACACGCACACAGCCATGCACAATAAGGCATGTCCATAATCTATCAGATTTACAGCATTACACAGTGTATACACACATACTTTATCCAGAAAAAATAACCAAAATCAAACACTTTTTCCTGTACAATGGATACACAGAAGTTCCAGGATTTATGGGATTGGTCCACTGCTCATGAAATGCATCATTGCATCTCACAGGTGTAGTATATAAGTACAGGACTTACTATTCCTATACTGCACTCAATAACTGACTGATTCCAGGATGATACATAGAACTGAATGACGGAGCCAATAATATTATAAGCAGATTTACTATCATTTGCATAAAGCCAGCAAGTACACAAGTGCCTAACAAAAGAGCAAGGTGATGGCTCCTTGTGTGTTCAGAGCCGACCTCAACAACGTACAGAGCACAGCCCATTTTCTCAAGTGCCACTCAAGTTCAAAAAGGTTGAGAACCACTGATTTAGAAGATCATACATATTTATTTCAATCCTGCATTCTACTTCTGCACAGATTCATTTTGAATCACAGTTTCATAAGTCTAGTTTAATCAAGTAGCACAATGGATCACAAGGCAAAAAAAATTTATGTTAGAAGTGACAACAGCAGGTAATGAGAGTTGAAGGTAACCAGTACCTTTGAGAATAAGATTTTAAGAGGCTGTGAACACCTGAGGGCAATGCTGTGTCCTGGTAACAGAGGTGTGTACAGAGGAGGTTATGAGGGAAGAAGGAAGAACAGGGAGTCCATAGTTCAACACACTCCTACCCCATAGCCCTCCAGAGAACACAGAATCTGAAAGAATGAATATGCTTAAGTTTTTAAGGTGTTGAAATACTACAACATTAATATCTAAGTACGGAGGTCCTCGTTCCCTTCCATCTTAGGCAGAGATATGCACTGTGTATTTTTTTTTTGTTATATGGAAATAAAAGTCAGAGGAAGAAGCTTTTACCAGCATTGTCTTTGCCTAGTGTAGATTAGAATTCACCTCTCTCCCTGCCTCCACAACACACTCTGCTTCAGACACATCTTACTGAGATTGTGCGCTTTATCTGTGCTCCCGCTACAAGATTACATCCTCAAGGGAGAAGGAAGCCTTGGTTTAGCTGAAAAAAAAGTACATATTTTTTAATGTGGAAAAGGAGTAAATTATATAAATCCATAGCTTTTCCCCTCCATGTTGTATAAAGACTCAAAATACATCAACTTCCCTAATCATCAAGAGGAAAGATTAGGGAAAAGGAAAGAAGACAATGACAAGGGGGAAAAAAAAAAAAGACGTTGCAATTGCAATATCACCATGTTTTTTTGAAAAGCAGAAGCTGACTATTTGAATCACAAACAAACAAACAAGAAAAACCAGACAAGATAGGTGTAGAAATTACATAGCTCAAAATAAAGTTGAAATCATTCAAATGTTATGATTTATGAGAATATGGCTATGATCATCAGAGTGCCTAACCTAACAGGGTTAGGCATTTACCTTAACCAGGGTATACATGGTTCAGGTACCTTAATGACCTTAACCATGCCCTGTAGTGAAACACTAAAAGTCTGATTACAATTAAATTCAAATTACTGTATTCAAGAATAGCTAAAAGACTTTTCTCAAGTATCACTGAAAAAGCAGACATTAAAAGGTCAGATAATAAAACATTTAATCTAAATTATTAATTTTAAATATACCTTGTAACAACTTATTAAGAGAGCTCTTGAAAATTCTCTAAAAGATCCCTCAGGACTCAAAGAATAATTGCTGAGAGTTTTATTAAAACACATGTTTTCTGTCCTGTTTTTACCGCAAAAACCAAATTAATAGTTGACAATAAAATAATTACCAAAAGTTTCACAATACACACTTTTTTTTAAACAGTTACCTTGGAAATGTATATGAATTTTACTGAACTGAATATATAGTTGCTTTAGTTGTCTGGGGTGCAATAGGAAAGCTCAGATGTTGGTAGAGTGTTGTGAAAACAATCACCAGTAAAA